GGGCCGCCCGCCACGGGATGGAGACCGCGGGGATGAGGGGCTGGTCGCCGCGGGGGAAACAATATCTCGTTTTCTGGTCTGTAGCGGGGGGGATTTGCAATGCAAATGGGCCCAGGGATTCCTTCAGTGGAGCGGTGGTTATCAGCCGCGGGCTCAGCTGGGGGACGAGCCCGGAGGTCACTGTCCCGGCTGAGAAAGGAGCCGCTGGCTGCGGCGGGGGCATCGGTAAAAGCCGCCCGCCCCGCCGACGCGGTTTTCTCAGCATCGCCGCTGACTCCGAGCGTGACATTTGCATCTGAAAAGCGGGTTTTGTTTACCTTTTTCTTAGCTCTCTAAACGACAAGTTATTGCGCTCAGGTTTGCGAGCGCGGGAATGTCCTTGCAAGTGCAACTTGTGACTGTTGCTGAGCAAATTTTCTTTTAGATGCAAGGCGGATTTTTTATTTTTTTTTTTTTCCCCTCCCTTCGCTCAACTTTCTTGTTTGAAATAGTTTGTTGACCCCTGTAAGGCAGCAGAAAAAAAATGCGTGTTAGCCAATAACGGGGTGTGTGTGTTGCTAGCTGATAGCCACAGGCAAGGATTAATCGGTTCCCAAATCGTTCTAAAGAGCCGGTTTACCTCATCAACCTGATAGAGGATATTAGTGAAGCAAAATGCTTAATCGCTTCAGTTAACAACAACAACAACAAAAAGAAAGACCCGATTTGGATTCTTTTAAGTGCCCCAGTTTTAATTTTCCATGTTTCTGTCTGATGCAGTCCCAAGAGACATCTCCTCGGACAGTCTCTTTTCTTCTCCATTGAGTCGGGGCCTCTTTCTCTGGGAGTTCTCATTGATATCTTTAATTGTGGACATTATTCCCATGCACGTGACTCTTAGGTCTAAATCTTTTATTTTCGAATTCCCCATCCTAGCTATTCACTCGCAGCCTCATCACAGCCCTTGGTGGTTTACATGCTCCCAGGCCTGAATCTTCGTCGTCCCCAAGTCTGACGCCAGTTCTTCCTCGGTTGAATTTCCTCCTTGCTGCAAGAGATGTTGCTCAGACACACAAACACCCCGAGCTTTGCCCTTTCGATTTTTATTTTAATTCCCGTTGGTAACAATTTTGCTGTGCTTCTGGTTTTGCCCAGCCTGGTGTTAATGGTTGTTTTCATGTTCTCCCAGGCCAGGACCGCAGTTGCCATCCCACTTCAGCACACCTGGATTTACTTCCCCTGGTTCGGAGACAACCTCCATCTCCAGTTTTGGGATCAGAGCATGAATTTAAGGCGTTTCCAAGTCGGGGATGGGAAACCCCAAGTCAGGAGCCTCAGCTTCCACGGCGCCAAAGGCAGGCGGTGCGACACACGGCCATCAAGCTATACTGAAGAAGTTGGGGTGCCCCGTTCAGAGTAAGCACATCATTCTACTGACGCCTGCTCCCAGCCAGCACACCAGAGCTCTGCGCTGGGACAAGGAGTGCGAGAGGATTAATTTAAAATGTGCCGGGGTGGCTCTTTACAGTCAGCGGCAAAAATACTCAAGGAGAGAAATTCCTATATCCAGCTTTTGCTCCACTAAGCAGTTCCCAGTTCTGAACGGCTTCCAGCCCAATGACTGATCAAGCTTATCCCTCATTTTCTTTTCAAGCATCCCCCCCCCCAAAAAAAAAAAAAAAAAAAAAAAAAAAAAAAAAAAAAAGAAATCGCAGCCAACGGTAGAAAATTTGCCAGGCTCTGTGGGAGTGCGTTGGGAGTTTCAGGTGCCGGGTAGTGCTGGGGAAGGTGGAGCCAGCAGCCATCCAGGCTCCTCCAAACTTCTAAATTTGCAAGGACATCTCAAGCTAACGAGCTGTCAGCTGAGTGCCTTCGCACCCAAGGCAGCCGTGGGCTGAGCTCCTGTTTCTTTATATCTATTCCAGCAACTTCTGGGTTTTGCAATAAGCGTCTGCAAATCCAATTAGCGTCTTTCTTTGTGGCACTGTATGCTGGCAGAGATCTGCTGTGTTGCTGCCATCTACAGTAGGGCCAGTGCCAATGGATAAGAAACAGATCTTATTTGCATATTCAAATATGCAAATGAAACATGACAGCTCTCCTTAATTTTTGTTTGGACTTTTTTATTTTTTTCTTTCCAGAGTCTTGCTTCAAAGATCCTTGTCTTGGACTGAAAGGTGTGTGTTTAATCTGGTTTGGCCCACGGCAGGGGACTATGCCAAGAACTGGTTCTGTCCCCTGAGAGTAGGGGATGGGGGAAAATAAAAGTGGAAAAAAGACTTTGCACTGCACTTGTCCCTGTTTTATCCAGGTAAACCCGGGGACGGGAAGGATTTCTGGAGCGTTTCCCTCGGCACAGGCTAACAGTCCTGGGAAGGTACAACACATCCTTTCTCCTTCCTGCCTGTACGCTCCGTGGCTGCTTCACAGGCCAAGCCTGGCTGTTCTTGGGGAGCGCGAGTGAAGGAGGCAACAACTGGGGTGTTTGAGAAGAGACGGGTCCTAGTGCTGGGGTGGGGAAAGTCGTGTCATGTGTGAGCCGGGCCAGTGCAGCCCACGCTCGGGCATCCACAGGCATCTCCTGGGAGAGGACTGGCCAGCAGGCACTGAACTGTGGCAGAGCCCCCCCCAGCTTTTCTGGGGGACAGGCAGCAGCCTTCAGCACTGCTCCTGGAGGCACCCCCTGCTCCCTCCTCATCCTCTGCTCCCCCTCTCTGCAGGAACATGACATTGACCCCCCAAACACGCACAGCCTCCGTCGCTGGCAGCCCGCTCACAGTCCCAATTGCCACGCAACCCAAGATGCCCAAATTCCTTCTTTGCCAGCCTCCAAGCAACACCTCTCATTTTGCAGCGAAAGTACTTTCCTGTCGGCTTCGCATCGCTCCTTGGGGTGGTGGGCTGTACGTTCCCTCTAAGGTCCTAGCGTCAGCTTGAATGTGGATGTTTGCGGCTTGCGCTTCCTACCCCTGGAGAAACAAATTTGTTTCAGTGTTTTTTGTCATTCATTATTATTTTCTCATTCCTAATTTAGTTGCATCTTCCCTGTTTCCACTCGTGACCACAACTTCCTTGGTCCGTCTGTGCTTTGGGTTGCTCGGACACCAGCCAGCCAACAACAGGGCTGTCTCCAGCACTTAAAGAGTCAGGCCGTGTAGAAAAATTACGATCTTGTACTAGTCCCGCAGACTTAAAGATTAAGACACAAAGCTTGCATTTGAGCAGGATTTTCTGAGAAAATACGTGCCTCCACTGGTATCATGGCTGGGTAGAAAGACCCCGAAGTTCTCCCCTGGACGTAGGTCACTTGGCTGCCTTCTCTTACCAGCTGCAAAATGATTCTGATCTTTGTCTTCTTTCATGAAGTACATCCGATGCCAAACACTCTGTGGTGTTTCCAAGATGAACATTACCTGCAGTCGAAACAAAGAACTGATATTTTAGGTAATAAGGAGCAGATATCTTTCTCCTGGCACTTACCATAGCTTTGCCAACTCGTGTCACGTCCTTACGTACAGCCTCAGCAAACATCCTGGAGTCGAGAGAGGGTTTGGTTTCTCCGGTGGCACCGAGGGGAGCTGGGTGTTGCTTTGCTTTGTGTGTGGCTGGCTGTGGCCCCTGTTGTCTCTGGTTCATGGCACGGGCTCACTGCAGGGCTTGTCCGTGTTGGCTGCCAGGGAGAAAAGAGACCCCAGGTAGTGACAGAGAGAAGCTGTGAGTGAGGAGGAGTTGGTCAGTTCTGCAGCGATGCTTGTTCTGGTGTAGCAGGGCTCCAGGTTTGCTGAGCACCATTGGGATCCCTGCGGGGAAGCGTGTTCGTTCGAATCAGCTGTTAATCCTAGCAATATTTATTCTTCTAAAATAGATTATGCTTTGCCTGTTCTCTGCCTTCCCCTCCTTCGCTTCACACTCCAACACTACAGTATTCACAGCACATATTTAACACCAGGGTAGTATAGCGAAAGTCCAGATTGTTAATAGCCAAAAACTCCGATTGCCAAAAAGATACTCCTAGCAACTACTAGCTGCATCTGGGAAAAATTACAGACAGCTTGGAAATTCTTTAGTTCCCTTATTAATGAAGGACTTAGTAGAAAAAAAAAAAAAAAAACCCGCACTGTAATACAGTTTAGCTTAACTAAGTTCTTTTGTGCCTGAGGAAAATCTAAATTATAGCGTACTATAGCTACTGAAAAATGCAAAAATGCAGAAGGCTTTTAATGTACAATAACCCTCCAAACCAGAAGGAAGAGGGAAAATTTTCTTAGTAAGTGGGAACACAATGAGAATTTATTTTATTCTTTCTCTGTATTTAGTGCTGGTGAAAAGAGCCAGATGAATAGTCACAAATACGTCATGTCCCTCGCAGATGCAACATGGGCAGCACAAGCGTCCTCGAACTGCCCCGCCAACGTGCTTCAATTCTGAATGAGAAGGACCAGCTTTCTGGGTGAGAAAGGAGTCTGTCTCTATTCAGTCCCTGACCCCTCTGCTCAAGGCTGTTAATGAAGGGGCCTCATTAACACCAAAGGTGAGGTTGGCATTATAATGTGGCTACTGGCCCACTGCAGGCTGAACTGACACCTATCAATTCCTTTCGCCTGGCTATTGAGCAGCCGTCGGATGACGGTACCTTTCCCTTGTGCTCTACAGACAGAGGTCAGGTTTGGCCACGTGAGGTAACGGTCTGCGTCGTGCCAAACCCGCCAGCCGGCTGGACCTGCCACGAAGAGCATTTCACAAGCCGGATTTGTCCAACACTGAATACGAGCTGCTGGCAGAAGTGCAGGCTGGAGAAGACGGGCCCAGGCACCTTACGTGCCCATTGGAGCAAACGCAATCGTGGTACAATAGGAGGGAGTGAGATTCACGGCCGAAATTTGCGTCTGCTTTGCATGGGGCTCCTTTCGGTCGATGCCAAAGTCGTTGAAAGGTGCCCGTCT